CGAGCCCCAACGATCATTAACGCGCGTGAAAGACATTGAGCAGTTCATCCGAGAGTGCGAGGCATTCGATATGGACCACGGGCAAGATACGGGCCACGAGTTTGATTCGCGGTTGGAGAACTTCAGGCGACGATACGAGGAGCTTCTGGGGAATATGAATAGGTAAGTTCATCGTGATTGTTAATAAGGAAATGAGCCGAATGTTTTGCTGCGCAGGGAGCAAAAGCATAGTATGCCCCAAAATAGCGGACAAAACCCCAAAGTTTCCGTGATGCCGGGAATTGTATGAACACCAACGAATTACGGTATACTTACACGGCGTCTCTCTGTCGACAAATATCATAGAGACAACATGGAGACACGCGTGAAACTGTTAGGAATAGACGTCGGCAGGCAGAAAGAACGGGACAGAGATGGCTCGAAGGAACGTATATTCGTGGACAAATACGTAGGTGGTGGTGGTACGAAGCCAAGAAGCGGTAGCGATCGGTACGAAATTCAAAATATGGTAGAACAGGTATCTGTATTTATACTACACTGATTTACACTGGCTTACGTCTGTCTTCCTGTGAAATTGATAGACTCGTAACCGTCTCTCTCACCACTTGACGTAGCAAGCGAGAAAGTGAGTGAGACTAAATTTGGATCCGAATTTGGCAGGAAGCGCGGGTGGCTGTGTTAGGGTCAGGTGAATATCACGTGTGCATTTCTCATATTTTCCCGCATCGCTCCTACTTTTGTACCTAGTCTCCTACTGTCTCGCTGTAGCCAAGGCCAATCTGAAGGGCTCCGCTCATTGCAATTTTGCGCTCACTCTCGCTGCATCAGCACAGAATGTTCAAAGCTTACACGATGAATTACGAGCAGAAGCCAAAGCTCTCTTCATTCCCTTCAACGTCGACCATGTCACCATCTCACTCTCCGCAGTCGCTACCCACTTCACATCGTGGACATCGGATAAGCCTATTGTCACGAACGCAAAAGGGTCCGACCTGGCATCTGTGTTGCTTTTGGCAAGCCTGCATAATAGAAGCGTCCATGTCACCGATGTTCTCACGAGCGACGATTTGTTGTTAATTTCTCTCAGCAAGGCTAAGCATCTGAAAGTCACATGCGATGTGTCTGTCTACTCACTCTTCTTCAACCGTTCCCAGTTTCCCAAGTCAGCATGTCTGCCAACCACAGAAGATCAAAAGGCAATATGGTCGAAACTCGAAACGATCGATGCTTTCTCTGTTGGTGCAACCCTTTATCTTCTGACCACAGAAGAAAGCAAAACGACTTCGCCGTGGTCAGGCGTGGAGCAAATGCTACCCCTTCTGCTCACTGCAGTAGCGGATGGACGTCTGATACTTGAAGATATTCGTCTTCGTTTGCACGATAAACTGTGAATGGACGGCACTCTTGGGCGACCTCAAGAATGGGCGCACGTTTCACACTCTCGTTACCCTGCTTAGTCTGTATTCTGTCCAACTCAATTTCGTGTCACCTCCGTCGCGTGCTATGCCTGCCAGTGTGGTTTCTGGCTCGGCAGGTTCCCATACCGGTCACAATATGCGAGTCCCTTGAGGACGTTTTACACCATACTGATGTGTTATATGTGACACGCGTTCAGAAGGAGAGGTTCGAAACTGAGGCAGAGTGGATGCAAGTGAAAGATGCTTACCGGGTCGATCACGCCGTTCTGTCAAGGGCCAAAGAAGAAATGATCGTCATGCACCCATTGCCGAGGGTGCAGGGTAAGCCATCTATGAATTTGCTGTGTAGACATGTTCGCTAACTTTGAACAATAGAAATCGATCCTGAAGTTGATTTGATCAGCGCCGGGCTGTCTCCTTCTGACAGATGCGATACGGCCTTTTCTTGAGTATTTTTTTCCGCTTGGTTGAAGATGAATTGTTGACCCTCCTACCCTAGATTCGTATGGTACTCCTCATGAGCGTCCTTCTGTAGACGGCAGACCTCCACAAGTAATTAATAACATCCAGACAGCCAGAATGGCTTGTACTGCATAGATAACAATTTAGTAGCTGCACAGGGCATTTACGATCTCCGGATGGGAGTGACAATCAAGAACCACGTGCCCAACTATGTAAGTACGAGAAGCTTACCAATGCATCTACGTAACATTCTGCCAGTCTTAACTCTCGAATCATTTGATGCGCAAGAAGTTCCTCAAATGATTTTCTATTTACACCACCTAGTTCACACTGAGCGCCGTAATGAAACCAGGACAGCGTACTATAGAATCCAAGACTTAAGGTTTGTCGGTTGAAATCAGCTCCACCTGCACACATGCGGACGCAGTGAATCTTCGTCTCCGAATTATGGATATAAGTATGTTGCCGTACGTATGTAGCTGATGAATTCTCTCGCTTAGAATACTCTAAATACCCACCCTTTCATCGGTCACTTGGGCTATGGATCAATCCCAGGCTCTCAATCCTCAGGACCGACCTGGTGCGAACTCTCAGCCTCAGGCCCAAGGTAGCTCCTCCCTGGCTGGCCTCGGACCTACCATTGCAGCCCCAGTACCAATAATCGGTCCAGAGAGGAACTCGACGTACACTTCTATCAGACACAGTTCACCGCTGTCCGACCAAGGTGACGCGCCCAGGTCGGACACGTCGTACGCGCCCCTCCGCAGCGCTCAGAGCCTCTCGAACAACCCCTTGCCTCCTGTACCAGGTCAAGACCCACACTCACCCGGGCGGAAGCCCTCACGACGATCCGACATTGACTGGATCATCCCTGTCGATACCCGGTCGGAGAAAGTGCGTCTGGCCTCATGGAAAGCTGCGTGTGGCTAAACGCGCGCTTTGCAGGTTTCACGTCCTAAAACAGTAGGCGAGCGCCTACAACCCACCCTGAGCACTGCGGAAGCGGCGAGGGAAAGATATATTTCGAAAGCGAGGATGACAGGCTATGCGCTTAATATCGCGATAGGTGGGTGATTGGTTTCAGACACACGTAACTAGTCGTGCTGAAGTCGTTGGATCAGGTCTGCAGGTCTTGCTGGGTGCACTTACGACGGGCCTATCGGCTGCGACGTCCGGTAAACAGGTCAGATTCCATCTCATTCGATATGAATTGCTCGAGCTCAATGCCTTACTACTACCAGACCTCGATCGCCATATCAATCATCGGTGGGAACACAATCCATACTCATCCCTCCGAGCCGCACTTACACTTCTTGCAGGAGGCATCTCAACCATGGTAGCCTCATACCTCGCCCGAGCTCGCGGTTCTAATGAGCCCGAACTATCCATAACGCGCGTGAAAGACCTCGAACAGTTCATCCGAAAGTGCCAGGCATTCGAAATGGACCACGGACACGATACGGGACACGCGTTTGATTCGCAGCTGGAGACTTTCAGGCGACAATACGAGGAGCTTCTGGGGAATGCGAATGGGTAAGTTCATCATGGTTGTTAGCGAAGGAACTAAGCTGAATATTTTTGCTGTGCAGGGAGCGAAAGCTGTCACCGCCTGTATAAATGATACCCATAATTTATTCGGACTGTACTATCATAACGTAATACCATCACTAATGCTCGACAAGGATCTGATCTGCATGCTATATCAAGAGAACATTCACCTTGTCCTTGTCCGATCACCTCTTACCCATGGTAAAGTACCTTTTTTCATCCGCACGTTGCGTTGATTCGCTGATCATTTTGAAAGTCCCTAGGAACACGCCACAAGATGCATACTCCGACCTCAAGTATTAAATCTGTGGAACCGACGTGGTGCTTCACTATTCTTCATGTCATGCTAATATCCCTGAGTTTGGATCATCTTAATCGCTGAACTATCATCCGAAGTCTCTGCTGCTGATGTACGTCCAAATTGAACCCCTCCCAACTAAAATAAGTAATAAGTATTTGGATGATTCCAAATGCACCTGTTCTTGTGTGATCGCAGTAGCGTCGACATCTGCACTATCCTCAACGCCAACTCTGTCTGCTCCCCGCTCCCGATTATGGAAACACGGCGACTCTACCGGTACACTGGGTAGCACACCTTTGGCGCACCGCTCCCTCCCATACGACACGTGGCTTCAAGCAACCTTAAACTGGAATAAGACGTAGCATACTTATCATCTCCACTATATCTCCAACCCTCGCATTCACACTTAGATCCGGAATGCAGATAGTGTGAACTCACTAGTGCTTTAGAATCACACACTTCTTACAAAACGTCTTTTGTCTCCCTCAATGACATTTAGAACAGTGTATAAAATGTATAAAAATGCGAAGATAAAGAACCTAAAAAAGTCTGATACTCTACTTAAGTAACGGTAACTTGCACTAGGATAGTGCATGAAACCTAGGTTTTGATACACCTAGGTTAATTACCAGTAAGTTACCTCTTCTCTCTGGAGGGGTTCTCCGTCGAGGTAACTTACACATCATGCGACTACCTGATCATTGATGAGCATAAAAACTCACTACAGCTTTTGGTGAGGGGTCGGTAAGAGCCCGTAAGTTACCCACATGGAAGTTTCAACTTTCAACTTTCATGCGCTGTAGGGTTGCGCACTAAACCCTAGGTTTTGATACATCTAGGTTTATTCCCGGTAACTTACCGGTAGCTTACTGGTAACTTACAGTGACACCCCTTCGCCGGAAGGGTTTTTGTTGAGGTAACTTACCTGTCATGTGACAGGTAGCTGGGCAGAATAATTCAGTACTATTATCTGTATATTTCAAGTTCTATTGTATATTTACATATGAGTGGTCTTTACAACTGAATTACCCTGAATTACAGCAAGAACATGTATAAAAACACGAACACGAAGGTTTTGGAAAAATCAACGATTACGGCGCGTCAGTCATGCGATAATGCACGTGATGAGGTAAGTAATGGTAACTTACCGTAGCAAAACCACCACCCCCCCGGGGAAGGGTCGGTAACAAACGGTTACTTACCACCCCTGGAGGTTTCGTGCGCAACCCTAATGCTCTAAAGGGAGAGAAAAAGGAAAAATTAACCTTGATGGGCCTGACTGGGAATTGAACCCAGGACCTCCTCGATGGTGTTCTCCACCCTAACAAGGAATCATACTACTAGACCATCAGGCCACATTAGTCAAGTTATTTCATTACTATATGACTTCCACACTTAGAATACTCCGTGGCTGTGCTCTGGCAATCACCGGCGGACGTGATGCTGTTTACTCATCACAGCTTTCTTTTGACCTGAACACTGTTGTCCGTGATGAAGAACAAGAACCGACAAACGAAATTTCCCGTCGTGAGTTCACACCCTGTATGATAATACCCTGGTGACCAGCTCGAGTAGGCCCGGATAAAGAAGATAATGCAGAAAGACGAAGAAGTGGGCAAGGTAGCGCAGGCCACACCCATCGTCATATGTACGTCTCCCAGGCTCAAAACACTGGATACCTTCTGATGCATCCACACCAGCGAAAGCCTTGGAGATGTTCCTAGGGCTAATCATCGAAGAAGCGCACAAAGTCACGTCGGAACGGGGGTCGAAGAAGGTGGAGGCGTATCATCTGTGCGTGGCATTTCCTGTCTGCTGTGTATATCCATATTGACGCTGATGTAGGAAACACGCCGTGGAGACGACCGAGATGCTGGACTTTTTGAAGGAGATTGTAGAAGGCGTACCGGACCCTTCGGCAGGTGGGACGATTGACATGGACGTGGAGCCTGCTGAAGGTGGGAAGAGGAAGAGGGGAAAGGCGAAGAAGGAGGGCGCCGCAGCGAAGGATGTGAATGCTGAAGGTGCCCCAACAAAGAGAAGGAGGAAGAAGAAGGGCGAGGAGGAACTAGCTGTAGTGAAGGAACAGGAGGAGGTAAAGGACGTAGTGATGGAGCCAGAACCAGAGCCGGAACCCGAACAGGAAGAGCAGGACGAAGGGGAAGACCAGACGATGAATGGTCATGGAAACGACGACGACTGGGATGGAGACGACAAGCCATTCATGCCTAGACGGTAGTATTAAATTTAAATAATGTTACAGTGCTCAGATATTCTACTTTCAGACGAGATCGACATTCGCGGCCCGTATTCCCGGATCACTTGTCTTTCACCATGACTACGTTTCCCCCAGAACTTGTAGAGATAATCGTACATGATATATGGAACTCTGAAATGCCTTCATTCGTCCGAAAATCGTTCATGACTACTTGCCCCCGGATTAACCGAACGTGGAAAGCTGTCTATGTCCCTATCGCTTCTCAGGATATGTACATCATTAACCTCTCATTTCTGGACTATCTATGCGATATTTCCCGAGCCCGAAAATCTATCATCTACCAGGACTTCATCCCCCGGCTTACCCGTACCATTACCTGCTTCGTCGACCTCTGAACAAATAAACGGGAAAGCGCGGCAAAAGCGGTCTATTGTTATCTCGTTAACCTACCCCATATCCGTGGTTTCCGAGCTCTGTTCAAACACGTTCAATGTGTATCCTTCCAGATCGTTTGGATGGGTATGGGAAAATATATCATACCAGTATTATCACCACTCCATGGTATTCCTGTTCGAGTCCGCTACGACCGGTTCTTTCCCAGTAATGCCCCCCCACCACTACCACCACCTCGGGAAGACGCGAATGCGTATATACATCTCTGTGAAGGACCGGGTCTTTTGGGGGACCAACACAACATACTGGTTACATACGACGCCCAATTGCGCAACGTCGGTGTCCCTAGATACTTCTTTACCACTGAAGTCCCGGAGTCATATCGTGAGACAGTACGCCATCGTGTCCATCATATCAGTGACACTGCGTACATTTCTGAGACGCAGCTTGGATCCTGGGTTCCAAGGAATATTAGTCAGCGCTTGTGGATGGCTTCCACGGGGTGACCTAGTACGGTACTCAGTATGTGATTAGAACTTCCATCTGATCAGTCTAACATTCCCATCTGTAGTGTTAAGGTGTCTTGCCAGTCTCTTTTACGGTCGGGAATTCAAACGCCTGCAGTCATCTTTGCCCGCAGTGAATCATTATACTAGGAAGCGTGTACCCTTAAGGTCGACCCTCTTCAAGAAGAAGAATTTGCTCTAAAGGAGTGCTATGCTTCTAGTGTGATCCATGAAGTTACTTGTACGTGAATGTCATTACAGTTGTCGAATCCATCTCCATTCTCGACCTCCGTACATTCCAAGATGTTTTCTGCTTACTGTGAGCATCTTCGTTTTTCAACCTCTTTTATGACGATACAGACCTAGTGCTACGTAGGAGGGAGGGACGTTCTTATATCATATGCGCTTCTACAGTGTCATTTAAGAAGTCTGGCGGCGCCGGCGTCCACAGTGCTACGAACAGGCAAGTTCTATTGGAAGAAGTCTGATAAATTCCCTGGATCCACTTCAAGTTCACCATCCGAGGGATATCACATTCTCGTGTTCTGGGACACTTTTGGACCGGTCTCCTTCGGGGTCAAAGTTCGAACATAAGTGAGTTGATTGCCTTCGGGGTCTTATATTATTCTGATTCTCGTTTCTTGAAGCTGCTGCGAGACCTCGGCCCAGCCCTGAATCCCTTCGGCACATTCCTTATCTTGAAGTTATAAGGTTTGGTTGGAGGCGTTCAGCCTTCATGAGCAACGCCACAGCGAAACAGCTTTGACGCCGGCCAAGTGGTGGGAGAAACAGTCGCAGGTTACATGGGTATCGTCCCGAGTTGAATCGCGGCCGAACACCTTTCCATCCTTTGGGGTCAAGGGAGAACTCTCCGTTGCAGGAAGCACGTTCGTTGTTAACTTTAAGCTAGCTCAATTGGCCAACGCTGATAAGTGGTAACGGAGCATGGCGGTATTGGATTCTTACATTGGTGATAAGTGACGCTAAAACACTAGTCATCCCTCTCGTAGTACGAGACAAACGAGCAGGAGCAGAAAGACTCTGCTGTTACTCTAGCTTGGGAAGTTTGGGTAGGTTTACGCACATGTTTCTTGCGAACCCCGGTTCCCGGTCTAAGTTTCTGTCGGGTACTAACTGTTACTCGATTCGAAGCAGGGCTAGAAGTAGTGTCAAAGACAGTAGCGTGAAGCATTTTAAGGGCGTATCGAATGTACTAACCGTGTACTTGATATTGAAACTTTATGGGATGGCTGGATATCAACCATCCACCCTATGCATCATCAGGTTGATGTCGTCATTGCTCTACGAGATACTACTATAGAATGGCGGACGATATCTAAACGGTGGAACGTATACCCGTCACGGTGATAATTTTGTACCTGGAATCTTGTAGACAGAGTGCACAAGTATACACCATGCGGTTCCAAATGTAAGGACCTGGAAGTTCAAGTTAACTTAGCACACGGGCTTTGATGCCGAGGATTGGTTCGAGGCAGTCAACTGTCCTTTGGCTCTATGCGCGATCAGCCTTTTCGGTGCCTAAGCAAGAGCCTGATAGTATTCATGCTGCGGGTGAATCACTCGAAACAAGTCCTAAGCAGAAACCAAGAAGTATGCAATTTCAGTAAAAGTTGCGCGTTTTTCTCCTTCATAACTTATCCTCGACAGGTTTGTTATATTTCGGGTTACCTACCGGAGATTGAAGAAAAAAAGTGATAAGATTCGACGATGTTACCCACTTGAAAAACCTTCCGAGCTAGGCTTGCCAGCTGCCATCCGTGCAGACTGGTTTCAACGTCGTCCAGCTCAATACACTCAACAACTGCGCGCGTTGTACCACTTGCACATTTAACACCTTTCTGTGGGCTGCATGAATGGTGTGAACGATGATATCGATGACATTTGAACTATAACGTAAGGAAATAGATTAGAGCGGAACAGAGCAAGAGTAAGGCAGCCAGTGCAGAACTAACAAGGAGGATCAACGAGCCTTCTACCTAACAAAGTAAAGAGTCACATATATATAGGGGACAGATGTATAGATTATATATACGACATTGCAGCAACACTGATTGGACCGAAGATAAACTAAGGAGAAAAGGAAATGCGAAAGAAGTTCAAAATTACAACTACCAGTACCGGTCCTCCAGAGCCGGAGCGGAGTTAAAGTCAACATCCTCAAAGACAAGTACTTATTAATGCATCCAGATCGAACCCGACAGGGAAATACTCTCTAGGGCCGAACCGTTGTTGAGTAATGTCATGGAAGGGCCTAATGTCTAAAAATAGCGGTAAGCCCGAAGGTATAACTAATTCGTCATGGACCAGAGGATCACGAAGTGTGCCCAGAACAGGATTGTCCCATTTCCCCACTGGAAGTAGGGTAACGCCTATCGCATGAAAAGACTCCATGAGATCGTGGAGAGTCGGTCGATCCGAAGGATCATGAGCCCAACATTGTACCATGAGCTTCCACCACAACTCAGCATGCCCGGTCGACCCCAGGTGCTTCGGATAAGAAAGATGTTTCTTTTCGAAACAGACAGTCTTGATAACGGCACCATCTCTGAGGTTGTTCCAGGGTATTGTCCCGTCAAACACCTTATACATGATCAGACTTCATGAAGAGCGGCTCGCCTGAGCAACACGTACCTCAAAATACACACAGGCAAGTGAATATACATCAGCTGGAAGGCTGTTTGTACTACCACTGAGGACTTCCGGTGCCTCCCATCTTACGGTCCCACCCTGGTGCGACGATGACGATGTTGCGAAGGTTGTAACACCCATCACAAATGATATACCGAAATCTGTGATAACTGCTCTACAGTCATCAGTGATCAATACGTTATCCTTGTTTTGGATTAGCAAGATATCGTCTGCAGAAATATGCTTCGGAACGCACTCCTTTGAGGTCGCCATGAACGATGGACAGTGTGTGCAGGTAGTTCATACCACGTGTAATGTCTAGAGCCTACTTTTTTATCAGAATTATATGAAAAGGGAAATCGAACAGTTCTTACAAGTCTGTGTCGATCAGGATCATCAGTCTTGTTCATATACTGACGAAGAGATCCGTTGACCATGAACGGAGACACGAGACAGTAGGTAGAAGGAGCAGCATCGCGATAGATGCCGTAGAAAGGTAGGACATTGGGATGATCGCACTGCTTCCAAATGATGGCCTCTCTCCTTAGTTGCTATAAAGGAAATGTTATGCTGATTCGAGTCGTGGCGG